GAGTGCAAGGTAGCATGTCTTACATTTTGCTCACATCTATGTAGATGAAAGGTCAAAAGGAGAAAACAAGTCCATGTTTATTAAAATGTTGTTGGTGCAAGCAAAAAAGATGGATAAAGTGATTTCTTAACTGACTGGGATTTTATACCCCATGAAATTGATCTCTTCCTCTCTTAACTAAATTCTCTTCCTCTTCCTCTCTCCCTTACTTCTCGGTTTTATTATCATTACAATCACCATATTGCCATTGATTTGTCCACATCACATTACCTAGATATTCTTCTTAAGAATTTATTCAGTACTCATCCAGGGCTGCCTAGCTAGCTAGCTAGGTAGCAGTTTTCTTTTACTTTTTCTCTGGTCTAAAAATATTATTGAATTATTGGTCAATCTTGCCCTGTATGGTGGGATTTGGGTGATTCATGAAAACCCTGTTGAACCTAATCTTGAAATTATAAGTTAACCCTTTGTTTGCTTAATTCTTGCTCCTGTGTAGCTTCACATTTCATATGCATTCACTGAAAGCTGCTTCATGGTTCTTTCAGTTTTCTTCGCGTCTCTTTTCATAAACTGATATATAAAATATAAATCCTTAATTTGAAATCATATCCACTATGCTATTTTAATTCCTCACAATTATAGAAAAGTCATCTGACTAAGACTTTGTTGTTGTTTCTCTTAGGTAAATAAGGGAAGTCTTCACATATTATATAGCCTTAGCGGATTACTAATTAATTTATGCCTGATCTTCACATATCCAAGTGGACGACCTTAATAATTTGATATATTCTTCATCCTCTCCATTTTACTATAATAAGCACCCCTTTCAAGGCCCCATGTACACATACATGCATGTCATTCTTAAACAGTTTTTAAGGTTCAGGAATTTTTATTTGAATGAGTAAGAGGTGAGGAATCATCATCTGCAGAGCTGTTTCTCTCTTTCAACTCCATCATGATTAACAATTTGAATCAGATTGCACTGTGTAACACTGTTTTCTGGATTCCAAATATAAGATTCATCGTCGAACACCTCCTAAAAAGGCTGGTAAGTGCATCCACGTACAAGCGATCTTTGGTTACTTTAAGACTTCTACTTGAACGTGTGGCTTAATTTCATAAACCTGGTTTGAAAAGGGATTTATTTTCAATATACAAAAGACTGGCATGATCAGGATATAGACCTAGAGTATTAAAGCTAGGAGAGCATAATATGTAACCTAAAGCTGGGAGTTGAAGAAATATGAAATTAAATCTCACAAGTTTAATTAGGCAAGCACGATATTGATTGGTAACTTGTATACCAAAAAATTGACAAGAAATATAGTATTGTATAGTCTAGCAAGTAATCATGTATAATAATCAATTATAAATTGGTTGAAATATCAAATGGGAGTATGCATGCGTTTATACACGAAATTAGGAAATAGTAGATGAGGTAATTGATCTATGTTTACGAAAACAAAATCCATTTCGATTAACATTATGATTTGAGAAAGCCATAGGGCATCACATCTAGCTATAGGGCACGTTCCTCTTCGTATTAAAAGCAAAACTTTATGCCTTGATTACTTGAAAAGGAAGACCAGCTATACAAAATATATATTGAAATTGTTGATTGTGTCTTAATTAGTAACTGAATGATCTTTCATTAATTTATACACTCTATCTGAATCCCTTGTATAAGTCTTGCTTCCTACACAAGTCATCGTATGACACCATACAAGAAACCATGGAAATTCCATGTCTAGATTATATATCAAGCTCAAGCTGTTACTTATAAAAGACTTTACTGTTTTTTTTTTTTTAATTTCCTGTAGTGTTCCAAATACACTGTCCTTGGACATCATTAATTTGATTTTTAGTTAGCTATATGTACAGTGAGTTTTTACCTTCAAAATGCTAGCTTTCATGCACCTGTATATCTTTCGGTGTCACAATGGATCTTGGCTGTGTTTTCTCTTAGTAGTTAACTGCTTAATTGCAATGAAACTGTCTAGGGTTGATAAAAAAATTGTTCCATCCATCTCTCGATTATATTAAAAAAATGGTTTGTAATTTGATTCTGGTGTTTTGTTATCTTCATATCTTGGCATTATATTTTTTTGTTTACTACTGTATTATATATTAAGTTTAAAACAAAAAGAGAAGTATAAATTGAAGCACGCGTAGCTAGTGATCCAGCCAAAGTTATACAAACTAAAGCTTCCGAATATTTGAGTGAAGATCTATACTACTAGATCTGATCCAAGTAAATTAGATAAATAATTTAATAAATGTTTTTATTAAAAAATGAGACATGTTCAGATTTAAAAGAAGGTTTGATTGTACCAAACTAAATTATCAACTTAAAATAAAGATAACAGGATAAATATTAAATTTTTCCAAGTAATTCTATAGTTAGTTTTCCTACTAGAGACCATTATGTCACTTATCAAATCTTTGGATCTTCTATAATTAAACTTCTAAATTGCTTTTTAGATTAATTTTGTTATTTTTCTAAGATTTCTGAGATTTATTATTTTTATTTTGAATTCTATTTTAATTTTCTTAAAATTTTTGGACTTTAAGTTGCTTTTTAGTAGAGTTAGGTTTTTCTAGCTTATTTAAAAGTCTTGTAAACTCTTAAAGAAATAGCTACCATATATTTAAATTTTAAAGAATACATTTATGAATTTAGGTTCACATCTACAATTTCTTTACTCATTAAAATTCTTGTATTTTCTAAGTTATTGGTGTCCTGTTAGACGTAGCTAGGTGCATTTTAATTTGAAGAATTCCCAAATATGCAAGATCACTAATTACTATTTCAATTACTAAAAAATGGCTTCTGATTTGAAATTATTTTTAATCTCCTAATGATAAATTAATAGGGAACGAGCTTAAACAAGTGGGATTGTAACAAACATTCTCCTTAAATGTTAATGGGACCCAATATCTCTTTTAAACCAGGAAAATTAGAGAGTTGTGCATAATTAAGTGCATAATTAAACTCTCAATTCTGCCTTCTCTCGATGAAGCAAGGCATTGAAGCAACAAACAAATCCCATCTGCCTATTAATTGGTCTTCTTGTCGTGAAAATCATAAGGTACCTTAGCCTACCACACTGAAAAATGGTCAATCAAGCAACATATCTTCCCATTTCTCTTACTGTTCTTCAACATTTCAAGCTAACCCATCTTTTCCCAACCACACTGCTTGTGACATTCACAAGCACTACAACCCACCTCAGAAAAAAAACATTAATTTTGACCTAAATATTGATGAACCATCACTGATTACCCTACTACAAAATCCTATTATTACATTTTGTGGTCCCTTTCTCAAGCTTCCATGCAAACCATTCTCTTTCCTAGGATTCTTCTATCCATCTTGCAATATGCAATTTGTTACATGGAATTCCGGCCTCAATAGAATATATATTCTACTTGGGTTTATTCGAACATATATAATTTTCTCCAAGTGATGTCAACCAAAGGTCATACCTTCTTACGGCCCCATAAAACTATGTAGAGTTTTTTTAGAATTTGGAGGCGATCTTCCATGTTTAGGTTAAACATAATGGCAATTCCCTCCCTTCCTTTTCCTCTCAAATCTCTCCATTAGGGTATTCTCGACCAGTTTTTGCATATCAAAACTAATCCCTCTTTAATTGAGTTTTAGATAAGTTGTTCATACTAGCAAAAAAAAAAAAAAAATCTCCCTGATATAGATTCAAGGTCAAATCACTTTCCCCAGAAATAATTTTTTTTTGTTAAATTAAAAGTCACGTTTGGGTTAAGACCTAAAATTCATAATTGTTTTTCAAAGCAAAAGAATCGCAAGTTTCAAATGGAATGGTCTTAGCCAGTCACCATTTTGGACTTTTAAGTTTATGAATTTGGTTATTTCAACCGAAAGCCAATTTTGCATAGTACCCAGGAGATAAAGTGGCTAGATTTTCAAAGTTAATTCTAGAATCGGTCTTAGTGTTGTGTGTGTGTTCTTCATGAGAAGGTGTCAAGCATTGACCATATTGGAAATAAAATTGTTTGCATAGAAACTTGAAAACATTGCTAATCACCAACAAAATGTGAAAAAAAATATGGCAAATTTGTAGAGAAAAACTTAATCAACAGGATGTTAGTAATATATATCTGGATGAATTAGCCGTCATCCCCACGAACCCATCGGAATCCGGTGATGTTTCATCCTGATGTTGCTTAATATCCTCAGTTGTCCCACACCACCACAAGTACCGTATATTCTATGATTAGAAAAATGCTAGCTTCATGAAAAAAACCCTAACTTTATGAAGTGGGATCCAACATAAGATAATGATTAAAAAAAAACTAACACAGGGAAGATAGGTTTGATGTCAATTTCTCATAGTCTCTACATGCTTTCTAGCTAAAACTAACCCTATTTAATCCCTGCTAAAATACTACGTAAGATAGCGACCCCAAAGTACAGTAGGTGGGTCTTCTGGGGCTGTCTCTTTCAATTTGTTTATTCACATTTGGTAACAAATTAACTTACACCATTGTTTCATTGTACCTCAAGTCATTAAGACACATACTTCGGCTCTAAATAGAAAATGACAGCAGAGCTACTCTTACTTTTTCTCACTTCTTTATAACTCATGTCCACAATTAGTTATTCCCGTTGTAAAAACTCTTGTTTCCAAGTCCAAGAAGTTAACTTCACAGTAACCTTTCGTCACTGTTTTGAAATAAACTGCATTTGTTCAGAAAACCAATAAAGTTGATGGGTTAACATGCAATTTGCATTCTTTTATTTATTTTTTTATTAATATAAATATTCACATCAGCTTACATAGATTAGCTTATATATACTTTAATTAATTTTACAAATTTTAAAATTAATAACTATAAAAGTTCATAATCACTCTAAAATTTATTAAATTCATACTAATAATTTTTATAAAGTAAATCTAGAGTTAAAATACACTATTTCTTCAATTTTAATAGCACAAAATATGCTGTTTCAAATATGTGACTTGATCGGGCTGTAACAAGAGTATTAGACAAGATATCCCAAGGATGAGGTGGCCTGCGTACTCCTGCTTCTACATTGAAGAACAAGTTACAAGGAATCATGAGAATTCAGATGTTCGTTGCTTATGGGGTTTGTGTTTTGATGCTTAAAAACGTTGGTGGCCGCTGGTAGTGCTGCTTCCCGTCTTCAAGGTTTTGCCAGAATCTGGTGACGAGGATTAGGTGGCTAGCTAGCTAACTCCCCTTCCCTTTTCTTGCAAACTGATCATAGGTAGAATACATCCCAAATGGGGAGTCTGAATTTATGAATCCCAACTCTGATCAAGGGAAGACATGCAAGCTTAGTGTTTAACAACATAGAAGAACACCTATGAAAGTCGTTCACCATATCAATGGGAGGTTTCGTCATATATGAACACTTCCCCATCAATTTGTTATCGTTAGGATGACAATTACATCCATGCTTGATGATGGATCATCCGAACCGACCCAAATAAATTAAATATTCTATAAATAGTAATTGTTTAGATCAAATTTGGATAATAAAATCCAAAAAACCAAAGTTAGAAATAATAAATATTATTCTACCCTACCCCGAATATTATATATGTGTACGCATACATCCAGGATCCATATCACAGGTGTGCTCCATCGGACCGGCGGCTTGTGCATTTGAGGAATTGGAAGTTCTGGATGGCATTGATGTTGCACAAATTATCATGTGTCATAGGACGCGTGAGTGGCATATTAAAAGAGTTACTGAACATGTGAGGATATTGAATGAAGAGAAAGGTTTTGTTGCTGCTAGCATGATGGATACTGAAGGCAGTGAGATTCAAATGGGCGATCTTGGTGGTGCTTCATCTGCTGAGGCTAAAGTAGGGGTGAGAAAATTAATCGAATTATTCGGAATATCAATAAAAATAACATAAAATCAATCAAATCGAACAGTTTTATGAATTTTGTTGTGCAAGTTCGAGTAAAATTAATCAATCAAATCGAACAGTTTTATGAATTTTGATGGGCAATTTCGATTAAAATTAATCAAATTGATTATATAATTTGCAAAATGATTTTCTTATTAGATTTATTTAAAGTATGCATTGAGATTAGGACTCATTTTTGCAAAACTTAGTAACCCTGTCATCCAAAAATTTGATAAGATCAGATTCAAATATTTAAAATCCCTACCTGCCATGTAATGAATTGAGTTTTGGACTCGAATATAGATATGGATAATACTAAATTCCGAGTATCATGAGTACTCAGCCGGCATATTTGCCAGCTTTAGTAACAAGAGGCCCATTGACTAATGAAGGCTGGACATCCTAAAGACTCAGATGCCCATTATCTTCGAGGGCATCTTGAAATTTCAACATTCTCTTAAAACAGAATCATAGTGATAGAGGGCTTTTAAGGAAGCAACTAGCTTAAACATTACTATGCTTAATACCTGTGTTTTATGGGACTAAGAATTAAACAGCATGCAAATCAAGAATCTCTGTAGCTTTCTTGAATCAATCAAACCAATCAACTACTCCGAACCAGACAACTAATGATAGCTTAAGTTATTATCTAAGTAATTACTGCCATAGCAGGGTAAGGGCTAGGAACTTCAAAAATTGTAGGCATAAACAGTCCAGATGCTTCTTGTAGGAAAAAACATAACAAGGGAAGTCGAAACTAAACATATACCTTTTTCTAAAAAACAAGCGTAGGATATGAGGCTCACCATAAATCTTCATTCATTTACTTCGGGGGGTAAATACTTCAACACAGACGGTGTAGATGAAGATGACATAGCAATTTAAGCTGCTCCAATGACGGAATGTACAGGAATGTATTCAAAACCCGACAACAATGCTAATTTAGGAAATAAAAAGAAAAAGAACTAAATGATAGCTGAATAGTGTCATATAGAAACTCAGAGACTGGCGAGAAAGTTTAAAGAGTCTTTTGTTTATTCTTCCGCAACTATTTTGTATGCATTCAAGGTTTTTTTTCTTAATCCAGTTTGACAGAGGTAGAGCAGAAATGCAACAAACATCCTATTAGTTAGCCTGTACATGATATACATTTGAAATTGAAAATTTGTTATCTTTAACTCCTTTGTTTCAGGAGTCTGCTGCTGGATTTGAAAAGGTCTCATTAACCTGCTCTTCTCCACGCCCCCGCAGTCGAAAGGGTAAGGAACAAACATTGAGACTGTCACAGGAGCATATGACTAAACGAACCTGTCAAGCCTAATCTATCAGCAACATTGTACATTAGTAGTTTATCCCAGACAAGGCCAAAGAGTTGCTCCCCTCCAATGGAAAATGTCAAGGCCCACGAAAGAAGAAGAGTTGTAAATACTGTGAACCTACTGCTAGCTGATCTAACAACATAATCAACAGCCAAAACCAGCCTCCACAGAAAGAAGTTAAGTTCATGCTTCAATGGTAATTTCATGAGAGCATTAACTACATTATAGGTCATTGCTACATAACAGATGAGTTTGATGGCATTCTTTTCGCCTAACAATTTTTTTTTTCCTTGCCAGAGGTTCCCCCAACCTCAATCAGCCCCAAATAAGATAATACAATCCCCTTTTTTTGCAATAAGGAAAAAAACTAACAAAGTGAAACAATATCAAGAGAAAATGACTCAGTAAGGAAACACTGTTTTCCCTAAACGTTGTTGCAAGGAAGGCAGAGCAATACCACCTGAGCCACATACCTCACTCGTTCAAAACACAAACTACTCATACATAATACAGGCAATGTTTACACTCTGTTATCCAAGAAGGACAGCCACTATTCATTAAACTAACCAACAAAATGGAGGCTTGCAAAGAAGTAATCAATTCGATCTCGGCATACGAATTTCAAGTGAAACAATACAAATCATTCACAATGTTGCGAGATTTGGAGATTTTTTTTTTTACCTACGAGGACGAATGCGAGGGAAAGAGCGAGAATAGAAGGGACCAGGCCAGAAGTAGAAGCAACAGACAGCCCAAAGCCTAGGCAAGAATGCGAATCCAAATTTGTAACTATATTTTAAAGTTGAAATAACTTCATCATTCTTATGCTTTCATTTTCAAAGTTGAATTTTTTTAATTAAATTAAATTAATTTATTAAATATAAACATAAAATCATCACTTTATAATGTTTTATTTGATTTATTTTATAAATTATTACTTTAATAATACATGTGATGTTTTTTTAGTGTTATTGTGTAACCTTTCAAAGTAATATTAAAACTATTTCGATGAGATCTTTCTTGTAAAATGGTGTCCATAGCATAGCGATAATAAATCTTCAATATGTTTTGTTTTTTTCTTCTCCAGAGTATATAATATCGACAATTTTTTTATAATTAATTATTGTTTATTCTTTTTTTTATTATCATTGTATTTTTTAATTATATTATTAAATTAATTAAATTTATTGAACCACTCAAGTTAATAATTAACTCAGATTTTAGATTTTTTTAGCCTAAATAATCTATTTTTATATTATAATAAATTTAACCGGGCTCATAATATAACTCAAAACATCTATTTTTTTATATTATTATCTAAACTACGTCACGATCCTTTCATATACATATCTAAAGATATTGATTTTTTGAAAAAAAAAAAAATCTGGTTGATCATTTTTTAAAAGTGAAAGTGCTAAGGCAGGGAAAAAAAAAGGTAAAAGGAATCCATTGGAAATTTTGATGAACGTCATGCCCTGAAATTGTAATCAATTGACACGAGGTCCAAAACGACACTTCGTTTGTTTGGCATTCTGGTTATCAGGGAGGATGTCCGTCGTTCTGAAATTGAAATCAAAATGGCGTCGCTCGCTTCGGCATTTTATAATAAAGAAAGTCCAATATCCCGTTTATATTTACGAACCTGCCACTACCTGTAAACTCTGACTCACAGGGGGGACAGCGGATTTTCTTCGTTTCTGTGAGAGCTTGAGGGAGTCAGTGCAAGATTATGCGTGAACAGTTAAGGGCATATCGGAAATTAACCATTGCCTTCATTTCTTGCATCGATGAATATGAATCGGAGCTTAAAGAAGATAAAATTAAATGCTTACAATTTAATAATTAATGGTTGGTTGAAGGTTGGAGAAAGTGGATCATGAAGAGTGGCTTGACCTTCAACATGATCATCACGGCCAACTTTTCTTTTTTTAGTAATCGAGGAATAATGTTATTAAGATTTAGTTGGTATCATTAAAAAAAATATAAATTGACTAAAAGAAAATTTACAATGTGATCGAAGTTCATAGATTTTCTAGTTCAAACATCTTTTAGTTTAGTTGAAGGGAGATGGAGGATTAAGAAAGGCTGTCTTGTAAGATGACTAGGAATATTTTCTATCTACTTTGGATGAATATCGGTCCCATGGGAGTGACAGAAAAGCAAGCTAATTGGATGGAGTTTTATCTATCTAACCTATTTAACCTTTGTGCACTTGCTTTTGTTTGTCCCTTTTAAGCTTCATTTTTTTTTTTTGAAGAAAACCCATCACATGCAGAATAGTAATTAACTGAAAGCTTCCTTTTTTCTCTCGTTAATTTATTAAAAAAATTGAAATCTAATGAGAGAATTAATGAAATAATGATTGATTATAATAGTTAAAATTGGGATTTGAACAAGGATAAGCTGTTTTTTCTTGGATCCTTTCTTAGCCTTGCTGCCTTCTTGTTTCTTTGACCTGTGAAGCTGTTTGGTGTAATAATTTAAATGGAAAATCAGATTGGTTGAAAGATGTTCACTTTGGCTTTTGCTTGTTCCCATAACCACTGCATCGATCTGTGAGTTGCAGAGTGTACAATAGTGGTGGAATTTGACCTTCAGGATTCATCATGATTCCTTAGTAATTTTAGTATTCATCATGAATTTAGAACGTAAATCATCCATTATAATCTTACAACAAAATATTTTTGTTTGTGATCTCATCGGTAAAATCCGTGTCGACTAAATAAAAATATAAATACCAGCATAATACTCTGCTGGTGAACTTAAAAATTTTGGCGGTGAGAAATAGAAAATTTAGCATGAATCATAAGAATGGTTGCAAGTTGGACTGCATAGCATCAGAAATTGAGGGATTGATGTTTGCAAAATGTTCTGAAGACTGTACAGATATACATTGAAGGAAAAGGCAAAATCTTAGTCGAGCATGAACTGACAAGTTGAGCCGCACTCGGTCACGCAATGTTCTGGCAATAAGGTGAAGGTTATCGCCAAAAGTCCAGAAAGAAATTTGAAGTATATCCTCAACGATCCTAATTTCTGTGCTAATCTCAGATTGCTTTTATTGATTCCTTTTCACTTTCACCAATTTCACCACAACAAACTCTCACTTTTGTGGGCCTCTAAAGTGCTTGCAAAGCCCTAGGAGGGTTATCAGAGAAAGCAATAGCATTTAGCACTCATAAAATGTCATCGATCTAGCTACCATCTGTTAGTTAGATCAGAAATGGGAAATGGGAAATGGGATGTAGTCAGATTGAGTTGTTCTGATCCTTATTCTAACATGAAAAGGGACTAAAGCAATTGTTATGCTCCCAAACATATCAAAAGAAGGAAAAAGCCAACACCTTTGTAAAAGTCATTGCTTGAATGCACTCCATCTTAGGTTACACCAGGCAGACCAAAGCTCTCCTAGTGATGCGGTCACATGCCCACCTTGGTGGTGGCTCCCTTCCCTCATGATTTTAACAGTACCGCCATAGACTTGTGGATGAGAAAGGGAGAGGAATCTCTCTGTACTATGAAGACGGGAAATAAAGGTGGTAGGCAATGAGCAAAAATCAGTGTTGGGGTCAGTTCCACCCACTATTGGAGACGTCTGGTATGCTAAAATGGGTGTAAAAGCAGCCTCTTGGATCCTACCATGGATGGCCTATTACCCATGCAAATTATCTTTTCTGGTGATCATGATTTTGACCATTGGAGAATTTCAGCTGGGAATGTTTGACTATTAAACTCTGATCTTTTGTTTAATCATAATCACCACTTTTGCATAATCTTTATCAACCATTAATTACATTGATCTGTGCACACTTCTTCACAAGGAGAAAAGGCATAGCTCTAGTTTCATATACTATATAAAATAACACTTCAATACTAGGACAAACATTACAGGATATTAACACATACCCTTTCTTAACTATGTATGTGTATACTATAATACTTCTTACCCATAATAAATATCATTGTAACTATAATTAAAGACTAGCAAAATTCCTACTCAGCAAATATTGGGGCCAAAACCTACGAATTCATTAGCTTCGTCAACAGAAATTTGAATCCCTTCTTGTTGAATGTTTCCGAGGATGGAAAGCCCCGATGGGGAAGGAGCAAATGCAAAACAAAAGGTTCCTGCATCATCCACTGGAATTAAAAAGTTATTTGCTGGAAGGGTTAGGATTGGCCCGCCTGAGAAGTAAAATGAAACAGTCGGTACCCGAACTGACAGAAACCCGAATAGGTTATAACAAGTATCAAATATGGATACTCCAGAAGCCCGGGGGAGGTTTTGGGTTTGCTCAATAAAGGCATTACGAAACGCTTCGTAAGCCACCGTAGGGAACCGAGTCACAGCAGTCCCAGTGTCCATAACAACCCCTCCACTTCCCAGTTCATTTAATTGGAATACATCTTCAGATATAGGCACTCTCGTTCCTCCAACTCCGAGACCCAAAAGTCTGATATAGTAAAAACTCGGTGCCCGCGGGTTTCGAACCAGAGGGATCCATGCAGCTCCCACGGGCATTGCTTCAGACCCGAATTCCAAAAATCCATTTGTACTAGTCCCCCTACTCACTAAACAATAACTAAATGCATTCCCGGTCTGACCACTCAATTGACCCATAAATGACATGGATCCACCTCCAAGACCCAATAAGCCGGCAGCACCAACAAACATGCCCCGATTACTATGCCCGCATCCGATAGCCACATTTCGAACCACAGTTCGTCCAAATGTAAGTGTTTCGAGGGCAAGAGTCCCTTTTGTATACGATCCATCACCATATGATACCTCGTAGCGACACCGACCCGAATTACAACCCGCATTCTCCACCCGGTCACAAACTGCCGAGCTACAAGACACACCCATAAATGATGCTGAGTCTGCCGGGTCAAATAGCGGGTCGGTTTGGTGATAACATTGGGTGCAAGGTTTACATTGAACCCAAACAATATCACTGCCCGAATCAATAACCATGTATTGACTTCTCGGCGGACTACCAAGTCCTATCCTAACAAAATATTCTCCACTACCTTGGTTCATGCCTGACACCACATCTGACCCAAAATTTTCTACCTCATACTTGGCGGCGCTGCCACTTGAAAGGCGGTGTATAAGGCTAGCCACCCTCTTCACGTCTCTATGCATGCGTGCATTAAAAACGTGGCTATGGTTATGTAACTGGTTGCTGAAAGATACCTTGTCTCTGTGGACAAGTTTCAGTTTCTGCTTTCCCCCGGTACTTTCGCTATCATTTGGATTGGTCTTGAATAGTTCTTGATACTGGGATGGTTTTATGGGCCTTGTTTTTGTTTCTGTTAATGCTTGTTTCACGTTCAAGAGTTGAAAATCAGGGTATAAAGTGGTTTTGGTTTCGGCTTTGGAAATGTTGCCATGATGAGTGGTAGCGGTAGAGGTGTTGGTGGAGGTTTTGGTGGCGGTGTCGCTTATTGCAAGCTGTAATAACATTACCACCACCAAGACAAGTAGTGCTCGAGAGGCTGGCATGTTTTTAATGTTTTGGTTGGTAGCTAGCAGTACTTCTTGCTCTGGGGAACGAGAGGGAAGGGAGGGATTTATTTGGATTGAATCATGGGATGTGCAGAAAGAAAGGGTGTGTGTGGGGTTTGAAATAATTGGAGTGATGGGTTACTGTATGTTTCTTTTGGAGTTTTGTTTTTGGACTGACACTGAGAGGTGTTTTGTTTTGAGAAGAAATTAGTGGGTCTTCTGCTCCTTAACTTTGTAGTATCTCTTTTCTACTTTTAGGAAAAGTTGATATATACATATA